GGGGACGGGAATAAGAAAGAGTAACCAAGGGGTGAATATGATCAAAGCATATCATAAAAGGTATGTCATAATGAAACACCTTATGTTGTACAACTAATATGTATAATGACATAAAAACAATAAAGCAGCACATGTCCTCCTGGAGAGCAAGTGGGAAACTGTATCTTGACAGCTTCTCTCATTATTTGTGTTTTGCATATGAGGACTTGTTAAAATACTATTGCAATCCAGACAATTTTTAAACAAGTCAACTTACTATCGTCTGCAGGTCAGATTTGGAATCTGTAGAAATGTTGCCCATTCTTTTCCTTACTCTCTCTTACTTGTAAGAAACTCTTGGCCAGGGAGTGCTGCAGATTTAGTTCTTTGAGAGTTGTTCTTCATCATCAGCCTGACTGAATTAAGACCAACCATGGGATCACACGTCTGTGTAGCCCTGGAAAACTTTCCAGAATTATTTAATAAAGGAACAATGACCTACCCAGAACATGGATAGTACCATCTCATGGGTGGACTCCCTGATGAAAAAGAGGGGAGAAAGCAAGCTGAGCACCATTATTCATTTTTCTCTGGGGACAAAACATGACCAGTTGCCTTATGTGATCCATGCCATGCCTTCCCCACCACAATGGAAGACATCCCTTCCATAAGTTACTTTTATCAGAACTTTTGTCACAGCAATGAAAAGAGTACCACTTATCTAGAGACACTGGCTGTGATAGATCTGAAGTTACCTGCGTTTTATAGTCATTCAGGAACAAGAATTCACTCCAAAAGGTGAGAACTGAGATGGGTATCTGAGTGGCTCCTTTGGGCTTTCCTAGAAAGCCACTGGAATAAACCTGGGTTATTGTTGCTTCTTCAATTCTCTTCACTTGTCAAATGGGTTTATCTTTTTTCCTGGAAGAAATGTGCTCTATATTACCTACAATATACAATAGAGGTGCTTTGGGATGTCAGTGTTGTGCCATGTGAACAGACCACTCTACTTGAAATAGAAAGGTCCAGCACAGTGGATTGGTTATGAAATGCTTGGATTGGTTGAGGGATTCTTAGGATTACTTGGTGATCTAGAAGCATCAGTGACAGGAAAGCACCAGGCACACTCTTCTGCAGTCCAAGAACTTGCTAAGTAGATGTAATGGCTCAGGATGTGCCTTCACCAGCAGCTGTGGTAGGAATAGCTTAGAGAACAGTACTTGAAACTCCAGTTCTGCTGTGTCCAGAGCAATGTATTGGGTGAAAAAGGGTGAGGTTCAAGGGGTGCTGTGGCCAGAGGTTGATGTGACAGCCCCTTCCAGGGATGCAATTGATACAAATGGAAAAAATAGTCTATTCCTCATGCTGTCCAAGTATCAAGATTAATGTCTGGCTTTTAAGTATTCATAAATGTTGGTACTATAAGGATGAATTGATAATCTAATATGTAGTTCCTGACTATTCAACTGGGAAATTATAAGGCATGCTAACCTTGAGATTCTAAGAGCTTTAAAAACCCACTGGGACTTTCTACATAAAACAGAGGTCAGATCCAAGAATCTGTTTTAGGCTCTTCCATCTCAGTGATGATTCTCTCTTTTTACTCTCATGTGAGTCCCCTGGACTGTTGTTGCATAAACCAGCAAGTCTATGATCCATGAGCTGCCAAAGGGATAAATAGGCAGAGGCTCTGGAAATGTCTTGGAATATCCTCATGACTCATCTTGATGCTGGCACTTATCTTCTGACTCCAGCAGCTCTGCATTCAAGCCTATATAGTGGGTGGAGCACAGCCCACCCACCTGTCTGCATGGCACATGGATACAGTATTTCTCACCAGTGATATTAGTGCTACCTGAGGATGTCAAAACCATTAGTGAGAGCCTCACCCCACAGAGCAGGAAGTGAGCCAATCAGAGCTCAGAGCTGGCAGGAGACACATAGATTGACTAACGGAAGAGCAGAATCACTTTAACTCCAGGAGGAGGGAAATCCATCTGTGACCTCAATGTAACAAATTTCTATTCATTCACCCATTCATTTCATTAACTGTTAATGTTTTCCAGATCCTAAGATGAAATGTGGTGATCAAACCATACTTACCAACTCCCAAGAATAATAAATGATTGCATATAACTCCATGGGCAGGTAGTTTATGAAAGCAAATATTTTGTGTGAAGAACAGACCCTTATAATCATATACTGAAATAACAGAGGGGCTGAGGAATTGTAGGACAAGAGGTCAGTTCTTTTCATTGATGCCCTGAAAAGTGTTTGTCTTGTTCTCTGGGCATGTTTTGAAATCAGTGGCCTTCTAAGTCATTGTCATTGCTGTGGATAGTGTTACCCCATGCTACATACAATATAGTGGGCTGCACAACAGAAACTGAAACAACATACCAATCAGAAGCAGCATGTTGTGAAGAAATAGGCTCTGAAGTTTCTTACTCCTAGTTTTAAATTATGGCTTTATTAGTTGTAGCTAAGTGATTTTTCACAGTTGTCTATTTATGTCCTGTTTTATTTTAGCCATAATCACAACGATTAAATTGACAACTTATGGATGTGAAAAGTTTAACATCCCTCTCCCCACAAAGGTATTGTTTCCTTCTCCATTCCATGAAACATTAGGCCTGAGAAACAACTGAGAACTATATAGGCCTGGACCAATAGCCTCTTTTATTCCTTTACCCCTGACAGACAGTGGGCTTCACATTGATGATACACACTGTGGCAAGCATACTGGGAAGGAATGACAGGAAGAGCCAGGGTACTTTCCAAGCTTGGGGTAGAACTTCTTCTTGTTTCCTCCAAATTGTTCAGGATAGACTTTGAAAGACCGGATATGGGATATGGAAAGGTCAGTGAACTAGTGGCACTAGGATATTTTTAGGAAAGAGTTTATGGATCCCTGGGAATTGAGGATCTATTTGGAGCTAATTTAGAACCACCTTTTACCTGAGAGGTTGCAGTGACTTGTGAAGACTTGACTGGTTGATCTGAGGAAGAAGCAGTTGAAACCAATTCCAGATACAGGCTTTATAGCTTCTCATAGCAGATCCCACACACTTCCCTCAAGGCACAGTGGGAAGGGTATAGGTTATGGGGCTGGACAGGTCTAGGTTCTTACTGTACTCTGTTACCCACTGATAACAATGACTTGGTGAGGTAGTTGGACCCCTGTGTCTTTACTTCCACTATAGCCTCCTCACATAATTATGATGAAAACTAAACAGAGTCACAGACTGCAGCAGTATTCAATAGTTCTCAAGAGATACTATTCCTGTCTTCTTTTCACATTTACTGTATTGAGGAAATGAAATGTGGCTGGTATTCAAAGACAATTAAATCATGAAAGACAAAAACTGATAGCAATACTTATTCACTTTTGATGCTTTGTAACCATCTTTATCCTTCAGGCCTCTGTTGCATGCATCTGCCTTATAAACTTTTGGCCCATAAAAAGATTCAACTAGATTATTTTAGCATTTTCTTCACTCACACTCATTTGCCTGGAATCTCCACAATCCTAGGTTCCTGGAATCTATTCCTGGAAATGAAGCCCAGGAAGATGAGTTGAATCAAGTCCATGGGAATAGGAGAAGCTGAGATGAGCCAATGAAGACATAATTCCTGGGGTCTGAGATCATACAGAATCTATTCAGTTCCCAAATTAACCAGGAAAACCCTATGGTTCATGGATAAACAAGTTCATGGGGGCCTTCCCACTATACTGAGCCATCATGCCAAAGTCTTTCCCCAGCAACCCTAACCAGTAGAAACCACAAGAAATCCCCAGAAGGAGTGAGCATGTCAGGTTTGAAGGACACAAGAGTAGCTTTCAACATATTGTATGAAATAGTGAGAGTCTCAACTAAACGCCCCTACATTAGGATCAGACTGCACAGGATGACTCATGGCTGCCAGGGTGAGGAGGCTTGTTTCATGAAGAAGGTGGCCATTTATCTCATATTTAGGAAAATCCAGTGTCAAGTAGAGACATGCTCTGCCTCTGAGTGAACAGCCAGGCATACTGAGGAGGAATCTCACCAATGCAATATCAGCTCTTGTCCTCGTGATCCCAGGTGCTTCATTTAAATGGCATCAAATTGCTTCATTGCCACCCTATAAAAAGTCTCATCAAATGCCAGCTCTTCAGAGTCTTGGCTTCTTCCAGTGTTGCTCCTGCCAGGAAAGAAGGTAAGTCTTGTTGCTTGTGATTAGGGACTTGGCAAGAAATAGTCTTGAGGCAGAGCTGGAGTGAAGTACTATGGAATAAATAATGGGCCAGGACTAGTTACTGGGGACATCTGTGAAGAAGGAGAATGCCTTTGATAGTGGGAAACTGAAACTGGATAGGGAAGGGGGCAGTACTACCTGGGCAGGGACTTCAGAGAATTTGGTTCCTCTGGGGACATTTGTGCCATCCTCTTGGTTCTACTTACTAACAAAGTGAACCAATATGCAAATGTCAAATGGTAGAAACTTACTAAGTCTTGAGCCTGAGTTTTGTTCTGTCAGTTTCAGTTAAAGACTCAGGTTCACTCAGGCACATACATTTGCCCTCTCTGAGGACTTCCTGACTTGGAAGGAATAAGAAGTAATCCCACCCCCAAGGGATAAATTGGTGGAGGCTAAACTGGATGAAGAGTAATGCCAGGCTGATCCCCAAAGCAGACACGGAAGTAAAAAGGGGAGACCTGGGAGAGTTCGGTAGAAATGTAAGTTACTATTTCCAACCCTTTATTTCCTACTGCGGAAACAGTAGCAGGGTTGAGTGAGGACTTATCTGAAGTCACACAGCTGGTTGAAGGTGTAAGAAGTGAACCTAGAATCCTTGACTCCACACCTCCTTTACTAACAGATGGTTAGCCTCTGGATGGTAACGACCTTCTCAAAAAGGAGACCTTTTTCAGATCACCCTCCCAAGTGGATGCACTGTAGAATTTTGTGGAAACCTTTTTCATCTTACAGTTTTGATGAATCTTTTCTTTTCAGATTTAAAAAAAAATCACAGCAAAATGTGTGACCAGCAGAAGCAGCCACAGTTCCTTCCATCTTGTGTGAAGGGTTCCGGAATGGGAGTAGGGCAAGGTAGTGATGGTGCCTCTGGGAAAGGCCAGGTTTCAGGCCAGATCCAAACTGTTGGTGCTCCAGGGCCTGCTTCCTATCAGCCTCAAACCATTGTGAGATACTCAGCTCCAGTTCCTGCTCAAACTTATGTGAAATACCAAGTTCCATGCCAGACCAAAACCTACGTGAAATGCCCAACTCCCTGCCAGACATACGTGAAGTGTCCAGCTCCATGCCAGACTACTTATGTGAAATGTCCAGCCCCATGCCAGACTACTTATGTAAAGTGCCCAGCCCCATGCCAGACGACCTCCGTCAAATGTCCAGCTCCCTGCCAGGCTCAGACATATTATGTCCAGTATCAGGTTCCTTACCAGACCTACTATACTCAAGCTTCTTCAAGTGGTTCAGGATCTCAGGGCTGTGTCCCTGACCCATGCTCTGCCCCCTGTTCTACCAGCTACTGCTGTTTGGCTCCCCGTACCTTTGGGGTGAGTCCTCTGAGACGCTGGGTCCAGCGACCCCAAGGATGGAACACAGGATCTTCTAGCTGCTGTGAGGATTCTGGGTGCTGCAGCTCTGGAGGCTGCGGAGGCTGTGGCTCTGGAGGCTGTGGAGGCTGCGGAGGCTGTGGCTGTGGCTGCGGCTCTGGGTGCTGCTGTTTGGGAATTATTCCCATGAGGTCCAGAGGTCCTGCATGCTGTGATCATGAGGATGATTGCTGCTGTTAAACGCAAAAGAACTGTTCTGCTTCCAAAATGTATCTCCTGCTATGTCTTCTGGACTTACCCAAACCCAACAACTGCTTCCCTAGTTCTTAACTTTGCTCCTTTATCAAGGCGTCCTGCCAGAGTTAGCACAACCCCCAAACTGTGGCAAGAATAAAGCTCTGAATGCAATGCACTGTGGCTCCTGTGGACTTATTTGCTCTGAGTTTATGCTCCTCATTATACACCCACCCTGGTGTGCCTTTTCCTGCTCTTGGTTTTCAACTATTAGATGAAAGATCTAAACAGACAGCACAAGTAAATGAAGCTGATGAACTCCCAGCCTTCGCACATGGTCCAGAATGCTATAAACAGCTTAGTTAAAGTAAGGCTGTAGACTTTGGGTATAAGGTATCCTTCCTTTTTTTCTCTCTAATTAATCTGTGTGGATTTGGTCACAGACCTTCAAGGAGGCATGGCTTTTGTTGTCATTACAACCCTTGAGTTTCTCTTCTGGATGCTGGAGAGCGTTTGAACTTAAATCTCAGGAGCATTATAGGGTGGTACTACTACAGTGAACATGGTTTGATACTGGTGGACTTTGTGAATTACATGTTTCTCATTTATTAGACTTTTCCTCTTGAGGACATAGGTACAGTCTTTCTGCTATAAGCAAGGACTCCCCCAAAGTGGGTAGACAGTGTTTAAGTCAGCCTTGACAGTAAGAAACGTATCTCCAAGAATAAGAACTTTCTGTGACAAGCATCCTAGCTCTGAGGCCGGGTTGCCTTTGTCATTAGCACTCAGTTATAGATGGTTTTTCATGATCTTTTATGTCTAAAGACTCTAATTTATGTATGTATGAACAATATATGGGTCGTGATGGTTCCTGGAGAGGTAGCTTAGTTGGCAAAATGCTTCTTATGCCAAATGAGTCCAATCCACAGAACCCACATATAAGTGGTTTGGTGTGTTGGCACAGATGCTGCATACTGGTAATCCCAGTAATGGAGCAGTTAGCCAACATAGTCTACTCAGTGAGTCTCAGTCCAGCAACTGATGGACCCTTTCTAAAATAAAAGAAACAAACAAATACCAGGAAACAGACAACAACAACAACCAAGAATGGTGGCACCCCAAGGAACATCTGAAGCTATCTTCTGACTTCCAAATGTATGCACAAGCAATATTGTTCATCTGTGCACACACATACAAAACATGCCAAGAGTAGATTTTGTTCATAAGAATCACACAGCCCTAGTACATAGGAGACAATATATTTGGTGAATACATACATGAATGGCAGAGAGAGAGAGAGAAAGAGAGAGAGAGAGAGAGAGAGAGAGAGAGAGAGAGAGAGAGAGAGA